TTTTAGAATGACCAAAACCCCAAACACTGGCAACACGTAATGCTGGTGAGGATATGGAGCAGCAGGACCCTCTTTCATTGCGGGTGAGAATGTACAATGATAGATGGGGTATATGAAAACTCTTTTTGCATTCTGCTGAATGACTCTGCTTTTGGAAGACAATATGGCAGTTTCAAATAAAGCAAAACCTAATCACTGCTATGCAATCTGGCAATTTTACTTCTTGGTATTTACTCAATTGATTTGAAAACATATGTTCACACAAAAACCTGCACAAGATATGCTGATAGCAATTTCGTTCACAATTGTAAACACCTGGAGGCAAACAAGATGTCCTTCGATAGATGAGTGAATAAACGAACTGTGTACAATGGAATATTATTCATTGATAAAAACTGAACTACCAAACCAAGAAAAGACATGGAGAAAACCTAAATGCACATTAAGGTGAAAGAAGCCAGACTAGCAAGGCCACTTCATATGATTCTAACTCTATGACATTCTCGAAAAGGTAAAATTGACTAAAAAGATGAATGCCTACGAAGAGTTCAGGATGGAAAAGCAAGAGCGGAGAGGTTGAATAGACATAACACAGAAGTTTTTAGGGCTGTGAAATTATTCTGTATGATAATATAATTCTGGATATTATACCAGATGACATTATGCATTTGATAAAGCCCATAAAACTGTACTACACAAAGAGTGACTGGCAATGTAAAATATGGGATTAAGCTAGTAATAATCCTTTTAGTTGTACAAAATATACCACACTAATGTAAGATGTTAGTAATAGGAGAAACTGCTCTGGGAGTGATAAGATGGGGTATATGAAAACTCTTTTTGCATTCTGCTGAATGACTCTGTAAACCTAAAACTGCTCTAAAAAAGTCTGATAGGAGAAAATTATGTTATTGTATCCATGTCTCTAATTTGATGTGTGCACACATTAAGTTTCAAGGAAGGTTTACTTCACGGAAATGCAAAATTGATGCAATAATCATTTTCTTATTGGGGGTTGTATGATTTTCATGTATTATTTATGTAATTTGAACAGCTAGATTATTGCCTCCTCCCCCACCTGAATCCTGCTGGTCACAGATGTTAGTTTTTAAGAGGTTAATGCTGGCTCTATTTTCCAGGTTTGTTCTATTTCACAGCTGTGAAAGGGATTCTTGTGTGTACTTTTACTTCTCTTGGAAGCTTGATTTTAAAAGGTACACTTCTAGATTAGTAAACTCCTTAATCTCCTTCCATCTCACCCCACCCCATGTCTTTTACTGTTTATTAAAAAGAAATTTAAACACTCCGAATAGCAGAAATAGTAAAATGAATATCATTTACATATACTGCACAGATTTAATGATTCTTAATCTTTTAACATATTTGCGTCCTCTGTTTTGCTTAATTTTTAAAAAGTAAATTATAAATATATGATTTTTAAATTGTAACTATATCAGTATGTATCTTTAAAGTACAGCATTTTCCTGCATAGTCCAAATTCAAGGGTAGGCAAAAATAAGTTCACAGTAGTGAGTACACGAAAGTTTATGAAGCATGGTAGCAATCATCTTGGGTAACAATTGCTGTTTAATATTTTAACCCTGCTGTTCTTCTGTAATTATTTGCTTGCTAAAATAATAGAGAAGTTATTTTGATTTTCTGAACTTATATAAATCATCTCATTTGACTGAATACCCCATTGATTGTGGTTTTACTGGTCTTTCAAAACATTCTTCTGCACCTGGAGACCAGGACAACACAATTGCTTTAAATTGCTTCAGTGGCTTTAGAAAATGTTTCTGTTGACTCAGTGGTCCCAAGACCTGAAACTATAATCTTTGTAGATAACTAACTTGCTCAATCTAGCTTCTGTAACAAACTGCTTTTGCAAACCAGGTTCCTCATTCCAAACCTCGAGATGTAATCAATACCTTTGTGATATTTGCCTCTATAAGTCTGATGTTTCCACCACGGGGGCACTGCGAGATTTGGAGCTGCTTCTCCCTTGCAGTCACCGGCTTTATTGATTAAACGACTCATCGATTTGATCTTGCGTCCTGTGTTTTACTCTCGGGGTACATTACAACAGCTATTTTTGTATTATTACTTGTTGTATTACTTATTAATAACTTTTGTCCACCTTTGTCTTATCACACTAACCAAGGTAATGGTAATTTTCCTTAATATTTCTAATATCTGGTTCATATTCGTGTTTTCTCAATTGTTTTCTCTTGCAGCTCTTCTTTCCAACCCGGATCCCATCAAGTACCACGCTCTGCAAAGTGTTGTTAGGTCCTAAAGTCTAGCCCCAAATCTCAGTGGATTCAGGAAGTCTCCAGGGGTCAGGTCCAATGGGCTACCGAAGCGGAAATGCTTCAAAAATTACTTCCTTCGGTCTCAAGGGTTCATGGGAAATGTAGTCTTGACTGTGTGGGCCTACCGAACAGGCCTCTGGGAAAGGGTCTTCAGCAGTCACTCTGCGCATGTGCCCACCAGTCCCGCCTCCTCCAGGTCGCCTTCCGGGGTCTGTGCGGAAGCAGAGCCTGCGCACCTGAGTGAGAACCCGAGCCCCCGCGGGCAGGTAAGCTCAAGTGTGGGGCGCGGGAGCCGGCAGTCCCGGTTCCGCCGCGGGCCCTCCCTGCCCCAAGCCCTGTGCCTGCGGGTCCTCCTCGCCGCTCCCGCAGCGCAGGTGGGACCGAGTCCTCCTGGGAGGAGACACCCTGTGCGGCCAGCGGGGGACTGCCGGGGCGCCAGGGGAGTGCACCCTCTGGACGCTCACAGTGCACAAGGGGCTACTCACAGTTTATGCAGATATTCTGAGAACGAAATAAAGTGTCATCTGCAAAATGCGTTGCCAAATGCCGTGTGATCACTGTGTAAATGGCTACCAAGACACTTTGTTCCCTTGTTTTGTTTCATTTAGCGCCGACAACAAGCCTACTTGTCGGTATGGACGTGCCATTTTAAGCAGCGAGAGGACTTTGCTGCGGGCGGAATGATATACCCCAGGGCACGAGCTGGCCGTGCAGAGCGGTAGGATGCAAATGCAGATTTTACCCCCTGTCTCTTGCTCTCCTAAGAGCCCTCCCCGCCCCAAACCCGAAGTTGCAACCTTTGCAGCAGGTAGAAGAGTAGCCTGTCCCCAGATTCCCAGAGACGTGATTGTAAAGTGAACGGGGACAGGACCTCACCATTTGGTAAATATACTTGGGATTCGTGGGTTTTCTCCAGAACCCCGGACCTCACCATTTGGTAAATATACTTGGGATTCGTGGGTTTTCTCCAGAACCCCGGGTCAGACTGCGGCTCTTGCAGCTTCCTGCACTGTCCAGGCCTCCTCCATCCTCAACGGCCCAGTCTGGCCATCACATGCAGTGCTGGCCAATAGAAAGATAATGCAAATACAATATAAAAATATCATTTAAAAAATTTCAGTAGTCACAGTGAAAAGAAAGGAGGTGAATGAATTCAATACTGATTTAATTCAATACAGTCAAAATACGACTGTCCTGTGGAGCAGCCACATTTCAGGTGCAGGGGCTGCATGCAGCTGCTGGCTCCAGTCCTGGGTAGTACATTCTTAGTGAATTCCAAAAGGGTCAGGCTTAGAATGTCGGAGGGAGGTTTCAAATAAAGTGCATTTGTTTCTAGGCTCAGGTCCCAGTTTCTCTGGAGCAAAGTAACTCTTTCACGCCAGGAAGGAAGGAGCCCCAGAAACAGCTGCCACTTGGAAGAACAGCCATTCTGACAGACCCTTCACCAGAGCTTCAGAGCAGAGGCAGAAGTTTCTAGAAAGGAGCAGGTGCTGATTTGCTCCACTAGAAGCAGGAGTGGAGGCTCTGGCCCAGCTGGTTCTGCCAACACCCTGAGGCCAGGCACCTGGCGGGTCCCAGAGCCTTCTCAGTGTAATTACTTAATCACACCCCCGCCAGTGAGCCTTTGTGAGCAGAGGGTGAGCCTTTCCAGTATCTGGTGAGCCTTTGTGAGCAGAGGGTGAGCCCAAGCGGGGTCTGTTTTCTCACAAAAAGTGCTATAAACATCTCAAAAGATCTTTGTAGAAACTGTATCTAATTTAGAGCAAAATGTTTAAGAATGTATTTCTTACATAAAATATCCCACCATATTTTAGAGTTTTCTGGGGAAACTAAAGCTGTAAAGACAACAAGAACTTGATTAATAATCCAGCAAGAGTAGTTTTTTGACATTTGTTTTAATGAAAGTAGAGGATTTCACCTCTGGTGTACCTGAATTTATTTAAGGAATCTTCTGTTTTATTTACTTTAAAAAATGTTTTTTGTTTTAATTAGGAGGGAGCATAAATTGTTAATTCATTGACAAAAAGCAGTTTACTTAGTGAAAATGCAAGATTAAGTCATGTGACCATCTCAGAGATGCAGATATTCAGGTGGTGCTACCTCTGTGTGGTTTTTGTTGTTCTTTCTCAAGACTGTCAAAGGGGCCCAGCTGGTGCCGCTCAGTGGTTGGTTGAGCATCCACCTATGAACTAGGAGGCCACAGTTCGATTCCTGGTCGGGGCATATGCCCGGGTTGTGGGCTCAATCTCCAGTGGGGGAACGAAGGAGGCAGCGATTCTCATCATTGATGTTTCTGTCTCTCCCTCTTCCTTCCTCTCTGAAATCAGTAATAAAAAAAGAATGTCAAAGGGACATTCTGCCATAGGGAAGCCTTTTCTCCACCTGGTGTTAGGAGATTTTTTACGCAGATGAATAAAGGAATTGTAAGGCAGACCAGGTTTCTCATGACCCCATTTCACTTCCCTTCTCCCCAGCTAGACCTTCACAGTTTTTTACCTTCTTGCAGGAGCAGCAGAAAATGAACAAAGCTCAGGTGAGTTCAGTTTTTAATAACCTATTTATTTTTACAGTGGATTTTATAAGGGTTTGTGTCTCTGTATTAACATGGAAAAATAGAAATCGAAATGGGTCAGATGCATTCAGAGAAGATATAGAAATACAGATGAATAGCAGAACAAAGTTGGTATGCAGAAATTTACTTCTGAGGGTTCTGATATTGGTGTCAGAATGTCAGACAATACTTCCTTAAAGGCTGACATTGGTGAGGAGATAAAGCAAACTGATTCCCCATAAAGACAACTGAAGATAAAAAATATCTTTGTTGTTTCAAGTAGGCAATTTAGTTAAAAACTTTCCAGTAACATAACCCTGAAAAAATATAGAATATTGTCTCTAATTGTTCTTTAATAAAAGTAGAAGACTTAATGATATATGTAAACTCAGTCAATACTAATTTTCAGAAACTCAAACACAGGGGTTGAACTAAGACATTTTTCTGATGAATCAACAGAATATCCTCAAAATTACTCTGCATAAATACGAATTACTCTGCATAAATATGAATTGCATGTAAGTGGCCTTCCAGATCCCCAGAAATATATAGGAGCTTTACAGAATCTTTATTGACCTTTCATTCCCCAGCATTTCCTTTTAAGCTTCTCGATTGGTCATTGGTTGCCCCTGCTGTTATTACCACCTCAGGTAGCCACTAAGTTAAACAAATGCCTTTCAGTGTTTTGTTTTTGCCTTTCAGTGTTTTGACAGATGCGTCTGAAGATAGTCTATTCCCACTACGTAAGCTCCAAGTTAGCTCAGATAAAGACATCCTTGTAAGCCGGGTCTTTCAGGGAACCTCCAAATTGACCAAGTGATGACAATTTTCTGGGAGTGAGGTTTTGATTTGATGGAACTCCAACCCTCTTGTAGTTGCCAGGCTGCTGGTTGCAGAATTTTGGTTCTCAAACTACTGCTGAGTTGGAGAGAGAGGGTTAAATTAAAAGGACACAATATTGTTCTTACTGTGAGTCAGCCGCTTTTCTTGTATATTTCCACAGATTGCCTTTGCTAACTTCTATAATTTTTGCCAGTTTTTTCATTCCTTTAGTGGAGGAGATAATTATCTGGGATGACTGCTTCAACATTTTTACCTAAACCACTTGTTAGCTTAATTAAAAAAAAAATCCAGCCGATGTTTATTAAGCCAGATATTAAAGATTAGCTAAAATGAAAAAATTCCATTTTTCTCACTAATATTTTAGTTTTGGAAAATATAGTTAAATTTTCTTTATTTGTTTAGATTACAATAAATCTAATGAGAAGTGTTCCTGTTCTTGTTTTCATTTGTTTTAGTTCCCAGCTACTAGTTCTGAGCTTCACACAGAGCAGGTATTCACTCGGTAATGAAGACATGAATGAACATGTAATTGGATTGTGTCTGTCCTCTTATCTCTTAATCTCCTTCCCATTCTTTCTACTTTTTAATTGTGACAAGATCCACTCTCAACAAATTTCTCTGTGTACAATTCAGTATTAAGTAGAGGCACAGTGTTGTACAGCAGATCTCTAGAACGTAATGTTTTTCACAAGTGAAACATGCTCCTTGAACAGCAACTCTCTGCTTCTCACCACCAGCCCCTTTGAAGACTTGTGGAAACTTTCCCTTTTTTTGTTTTCCAAAACTCTACTCTCTCATGCATCTGTTATTACTTTTCAAAAAGTTCTCTGGCTTTGTGGCCTATACTTTTTCTGTCAGTGTCTTTATTACTAGTACGGTGGACGAAATTCGTGCACCTGGATGGGGGGGTCCCCTCAGTCAAGCCTGCACCCTCTCCAATCTGTGACATCCCTCTTACAATCTGGGACTGCTGGCTCCTAACTGCCCACCTGCCTGATCGCCCCTAATTGCCCCCCCGCTGGCCTGGTTGCCCCCAACTAGCACGCCCTCCCCCGCCAGCCTGGTTGCCCCAGACAGCCTGCTGTTCAGTCATTTAGTTGTCCCTCATTAACCCCCCTGCCAGCCTGGTTGCCCCACGCAGCCTGCTGATCGTTACTGTGATGGCGTCCTTGACAATTTGCATATTCCTCTATTATTAGTATAGATCAGTGGTCGGCAAACTTCGGCTCTCGAGCCACGTGCGGTTCTTTGGCCCCTTGAGTGTGGCTCTTCCACAAAATACCGACTTCTGCGCATGGGCCACGAAGTTTCAATTGCACTGTACATGCATGCCCTCACGTGATATTTTGTAGAAGAGCCACACTCAAGGGGCCAAAGAGCGGCATGTGGCTTGCGAGCCGCAGTTTGCCGACCACTGGTATAGATTATTTATTAATCCTCACCTGAGGATATTTTTTCCATTAATTATTAGAGAGAGTGGAAGGGTAGAAGGGAGGGAGAGGGAAAAGGAGAGGTAGGGAGTGAGAGACAGAGAGATAGAGGTAGAGAGAAAATCATCAATGTGAGACACTTGGTTGGTTGGTTGCCTCCCACATGAAGCCCAATCAGACCCGGGACTGGACCTAGGGATCAAACCTGCAATCCAGGTATGTGTCCTTAACCAGGAATTAAATTCAAGACCCTTTGGTGCACAGGCCAACGCTCTAACCTCTGAGAAATACCTGCCAGGGCTCTGCTAGCCTCTTAATATTTCTCAAATGTTTTTGGTACTTTGTTCATTTCCTTCATGCTCAAGTTGCTGTCTGATTCCTTCTGATAACTTCAGTTACCATCTAAATTGCTAGTAACTCCTTAATGTTTGTCTCCATCCTAAACCTCCTCTCTGTGTTCTAAAATCATGCATATACTAGTTTAAGGGACAGTTCCAGCTTTATATTCCATAGACTCTTCAGTAGCAACATGAACGCATCTGTCACATTAGAACTGATAGCACATATTTTCCTTTTGTGTCCCAAGTCAGTATTTGGCACCAGCATTGAAGGAGCAGCTCTTTGCTAGACTGGGTAACGACATAAGAAAGTAGTTACCACATTGGTTGTTGCTTCTGCTCTGTGACTACTTCCCTATCCTTATAGCAGTTGCTGTTACTTCAGTGTAGATTGTGTTCTCTCATACTGGTCTCTCTGATTCCACCTCCTTGGTAGGTTGTTCTTTGCTCTTCATGAGCTCTAGATTTATATATCTTTACTAGTGACCCGGTGCACGGATTCATGTACATTGAAAGGAAAGCGTCTGCAGAGTGAACAGGGTCCCTCTGGCAGGTGGGGGTCCCTTGGCCTGGCCAGGCCTGCGGGGATCAGGCTGAAACCAGCTCTCCAACATCCTCTGAGGGGTCCCGGAGTGCAAGAGGGCACTCTGCAAAGTTGCTGTCATACAAGGTGTGGAATGCAAATGCGAGTGTGCAGTAAACCAGATTGGGGTGGACAGTGCCCCAGTAACAACATAACCCACGGCTGAAGGTGGAATTGCGAGGCCCTGCAAGGAATTCGGGCTCCCTCCTCTCTGGTTTTGGGTGCGTCACCCGAGAGCCACCACTGCCAAGTCACTGCAGCTCTGCAGCTCCTGCGTTGAGAGTCTGCCCCCTGGTGGTTGTGAGCATCATAGCGGCCGGTCAGACGGAGGGAAGGACACTTAGCATATTAGCCTTTTATATATATATAGCTACATTTATTTATTCATGAGCTCAATCATGCATGATATCTCCACATCTTACATGCATCTCTTTCTTGACTCCCATTATGTATGGTAGTGATGTCCAAGGAGGGATTGAACATCCTAGAATTCTCTAGAATACCCAGGATAATCACTTGGGATGTAGAAGAGCTATAGGAGGTCTCTTTATACTGGATTTGTTTTGTTTTGTTTAAAAACACTGTAATTTGGCCTGGTTTGTTTGGCTTAGTGGTTAGAGTGTTGGCCTGTGCACCATAGGGTCATGGGTCAATTCCTGGATAAGGGCACATACCTGAGTTGTAGGTTCCATCCCCAGCCCTAGTCGGGGTGCATGCCAGAGATAGCAAACGATGT